GGTTTAGTGAATACATCTGAAGCATAGGATTCCTGAGGACCCTGAGACCTAACTCTGAGTAAAATTTGTATAAGCTAAAGTGAAGACTCTGAAAAGGTCAGAGCCAACAGGAGTGTCGTGGCAGCCCTCACACGGGGCGAGTCTGCTTCCACTTGCTGGACTCTACGCTAATGGGTTTTTTGTTGTTGGCTACTCACCGAGCCTAGTATGGGTTACGTTGTGTCATGGTGATTTGCATTAGCAGCCTTTAGGGAAATGATGTTCTGGATGCCCTCTCTAACACTCGCACTCAACCTGATATGCTAAACTACCACCCTAATGGATATTAAACATATCCAAACAGTCCATAACGAGTACTAAAACCTAGGCCCTGGAGCAAGTGTTTGACCTACAGAATGAAAAACTAAAAGCCTGATGGTTCTACAGTCATATTTCACATGTTTCGTGGTTCTCCATGCCCTTTGACCATATTGGAAATTCAAATCAATCTTCGGAGAATGAAGAAGGAAAGGTTCAAAGGCAGGTTCTAAAGGTGATGAGCAGGGCCAGCAGGACTACTCAGTTCAAACAGCTTCCCTCTGTGGGGTCTTCTTTGTACACCCTCTCAACTCTCTAGGGGGACTGGCAGCTACCCCCCACCCCGGTGCCTCCACTGAGATCTGCCACGGCCGTTATTGGTTGACATTGACCTCCCTCCTCTAGACTGCAAGAAAATCTGAGAAGAAAAAGCACCTCATGCATTTTTTTCACCCCACTGCAGTAACCCGCATCTAGCAGATACATGCGGTCCCTCGGTGGTGCAAGTGGGTTGTTCACCCAGCTATTGACCAAAAGGTTGGAGGATTAGGTCCACCCAGAGACACTAGGGAAGAAAGCCCAGGTGATTAACTTCCAAAAACTCAGCCTTCGAAATCCTACGGAACACGGTTCTACTGTGACACACACGGGGTCACTCTGAGTCAGAGCCGACTCGATGGCAACTGATTTGTTTTTGTTTTTTGGCAAGTATATATGTGTATGTAGGAGCTCTGGTAGCATAGTGCCTAAGGCATTTGACTGCTAACCAGAAG